CTACGACTTTATTTCCTGGACCTTGCTTTATAATCGGGGCAGTCCTCGCGAACCAGCTCTTCTTATATCCCAAAGGTTTGACGTAGTGCCTTGACTTTATCTTAAAGCCCCACTTCGAGTCCATCGGGTCGGTAAGTCGTCTGTTTGACAAATGTGAACAAGTGATGTATTGGCTTACGGCAGTCCGAGCGGCTTTAACTGGTTAGCTGCTTTGGGGTTGTAGATGGCCTCATTACTGGGGTCAACCAAGACGTTAATTTGTCTTCAGTTTCACGCTCTGCGTTTGGGGGTCTATCAAAGCAATTCGCACGTTTAGCCTGACTAATATAGAGCACACGGAATTTAATTGCATCCTCCTGAAAGAGTGTACAGTGAGTTTTTCTCACTACGTCTGCGATGGTAATAATTTGTTGCGGGTACACTATCTCATTTTAAGACTGCAAACAGATAACTAGAGTGTGTTTACGATCCTTATCATCTACATAGTTGTTTTTAAAAATTCCACATCTTCATGTCGACTTGTATGTTTTAACGGTAGCGTTGCAAACTTGTCGCATGATATTCAGTATCTGTGACATTAAGTTATCGATCTTGCAGTCGAATTGATACAATCAAGCCGATTGCTATCAACAAAGCCGCTCCAGTCGAAACCGTAATCACTTTGTGGAAGATTTAAGGGGCGCAGAGATTTTTGACATATTTAATCTAGTGCATCCTGATTCAAAATAAATGCGCAGACTCATCTTGGCAAAATACTTTGTTTGAAAATAGCTGGGGTCGACAATAGTATCGCTGACAGCATCGTGAAAATGGACCATTTTGCTAAAAAGTCGACAATTTCGGTTTAGCCGACAGCCTTAATAGAAATACAAAAAAGTCACATTTGCAGTCTGGCAAATCTGGCAGACTACTCGAAGGCCCCAAATTTAGTAGCCAGCGTTTCGCTCTTGAGCACCAACTGATACACAAATTCTTCACGGCACTTAACATAAAAATCAAAACTTCCCCTGATGCCAACAAGTATCAAATCTTTCGCACATCAAACGTCGTATATTTCAAACCTTGTTCTTAAGAAATGTTGTACTTCAGACATTTAAACCACTTGTGTGGCTTCTGCGAGTCAAAAAATGGGCTGTCATCTGTTAAAAATGCCGTATCCGCGTGATTAAGACGTGGTCTGTAAAATGCGCTGCTATAATGATCATCAAAGAGGCCAGCATCAAGTCCTCCTGCGCAGCTTTCGAACTCGACGAGACCGTCGTTCTCCTTTGACTTGTGTTTAATCAATTTCCCAGCGAGAATTGATGGAGCTTCAAACTTAGAATGAACCCCGTTGTAGTTATCACTGCACATGACAGCGTCAACGTTCTCTCGGTACGCCTTCTGAGCGGCCAAATACGCAGCATCGAGAGATGGGTTGCTATACTTCTCACCTTGGTAGCAGGTGGACTTGCGAGACTCAGCCGCAGGACATTGATCAAACATCTTTAATAATCCTATTCTCAAACGGCTTCCTTTGATGCTACAGATGTCCATGAGATAGTCGGACGCCATGCTACCCATCATTGGAGGACTTAAAGCTACCCAAGATGTGGTGTCACTGAAGCTACACCTGTTATTCACAAGCGCGTCCGCCATCACGAGTCCACCCATTGAATGTGTAACTACAATGGTGTTATCAATAATTTTAGCAGCAACGTCACTGGTGGGACTCATGGACAGCGAGTGCTTACAGAATTTCTGCTGAAGAGACGCGTTTCTCCAACCAGCATTCATAGTATCGAGAACAGCATATTTGATTGAGGAGCAGCAAGGTGCATGACCATAGATGTCCCCAAATTTATCCTTAAGTAAGTCAGCATTGTCCTGCAGTTCGGGCATTTCTAACTCATTTCCCGATCCATGAAAGAAAATGCACGGCCGAGGTGTGGTCGAACACTTATTACAAGACTTTGAACGTAAAAACATGGAAGCCTCTTCTTTTAGCTTTCGATACGCATTGGACAAGATTTTATTGCCTGAAGCGAAAGCAAGAGCTGTTGACGTCAATGACATCGCCTTCTGAACAGTTCCACACGGCGCAGGGTCAGCCAACATATCAGGCCTCGAAACGTTGATGGGATTCTGAAGATATTCGACAGTTATGTCGAGATCATTGCTGTAGGCTGTGGCCTTACCAGACGCGCAGATTGCGTAAGACGTTCCAGCAAATTGTGTCTCAAATAGTTTTCCACTAGCACACTCAATCGACTTGTTATTAATATAAGCACTAGGAATGGGTATGGCACCATTTAGCGCAGGTAGAATCTGGTCGAAAGGCATCGTACTCAGAGTGAGACAGTGGGTCATCTTCGACCCTAATGCATCCGTCGTTGTCAAGTATGCAAATCCATCCTTCAGAGTATACTTATATTCCGAACGACTGTCTTTTAGCGTCGCGTAGCTGTCATATATCAAACTAGAAGCGTTGACTGACACGACGGGAGAAGCATAGATGTCAAACTCAGAATGACCATGAAGCTTTAAACTCTCGCGTTTGAAGGTGATATGCAGCTTGACGGATGGAAATTCACTCAACAAAGTGTTAACTGAAGTAGCAGCTCCCAGTACTAAGAGAACGATGATAGAGGCGAGTACAACGGCCCTGAATGTTATCATCTTTTCCCGTGCGTGAGCTTCAAGAACTTCAAAATGAGACCGACATTCGAATGAACCGTATAGACGAGAATTGCTGCAGATGGTGTTCCGGTGCGACAAGCGGGACTTGCCAATATTTCTCATCCGAAGATTTTTACTCAAACTTTCCTCAAATCTTCACGATGGATCGGCCAGATACTTCTTAATGAATCCAACAGCACAACCATGTCAATCTTCACTTTATATTCCAGCGACTTTCTGCGTATTTATTGTCCATCCATCATTCGATCACATCAATCTGCTTAAAGAATTACTTGCATTTTCAAAGACGCTAGACCAAAAACAAAAATAATCTTAGCACTTCAAAAAACATTTGCAGGATTATTTCCATTGTCTTTTCTGATCATTTGACCCGAAAACTCCATTGATTCATTAACCAACATACTAGCACGGTGGAAAAAAATTATGTTAGAGATCCTGCAGTTCATCTAATCAAGCAATTATCAACGTTATCAGCTGGTTTTAAGCAAATGGATGAATCTTGCTCACCCATGATCGAGAACCTTAAAAGTAAAAGACACTTGTTTGCTCCTCTCTATGGCAAAGCAAATATTTGAAATCGAACCCATACATTGCTTATCCCGCTCACACATTTCCCTCATTCATACCAGCACTTGTCACAATACATCGCAATAGTGCCATAATTTTTTTTGGTACTATAGAATTTGGCTCTAAGTCGTATTATAAGGTGTCTCTAATGCATTTGGCAACAAACTAGGTTAGTTAATGTATTCACATTCAATTTAGAGGCTAAGAATCACTCTTATCATCGACTTCAGAGGGTATCATATTTTCAAGGTGCAACATGTATTAAGAAATTGAACACTACGACTATCCGTTGTAACCAGGAAAAAAGAAAGCGACAAAACATGACGATGTACGGCACTACAGGCGCAACACCACACGTATTTCTAAAAGATGATGATGCCTTATTGATCACCCCACACACACAACCAACAGTGACTTTGGTCGCTCCGTATGTGTGCGACTATAAGGGCATCGCGAGGCCAGTGGCAGTTCCAGTCGGAACAACTCTAATTGAATTCGTGGATGCGGCATTTCAAAAACCAACGTTTATTAAAGGAGTTTTTCTTGGCTTTGAAGATGAAAACTTGTCGATGACTCAGCCTGTAACGTCAGCTGATGCGACTAGATGGACGGCCGACAGTCCACTCAAATTGAAGTACGAGGTGAGAACAAGCAACCAAAAAAGCATTTGTGCAAAGTATGTACAGTATTGACGTCGTATGTATTGCGGATAGAGAAACGACTCATGCCTGATCTTGTGAATGATGCAGAGATTGAGTTGGAAGGAAAAGGCATCAAATTTAGATGCCAGGCATCATGGATAGATTGTCGCCCTTATCATTGGTGCTGCAAATGCTGGTTACACGACCTGGACAAGGTTTCATGGTGGTCATGCCAGCAGTGGTGATCGCAGTGGTAGTGATATGGGATGGTTGTAGTAGTGACGTATTTTATTAAAAAGAAAGTTTAACGAGGTCGTAATCGAGGGCATCGGTCGTGGGTCTTGGGGTGTATACTCGATTCAATTTCATAGTCATTTACCGAATACTTTGCCATTCCGAGACTACAAATTTCGAATATGATACACAGTCAATATCTCAACATCTGAATTCGCATAATGTCGCATTAGAAGCCAGCAAGCAATGCTGATCAAGCAAAAATCACTACATTTCACTCAATGGCTTAGCAAAAGTGCAGAACTATGTGGGAAAACGAGAGACATTACCCTCGGCGGTATTGCAACTACAGACTGTGATAATGTCCGCAATTAACCACAATAATATACTGGCTTGCAAATAAAGTTATAGATAATCAGATCTAGATGTCAAAAGATAGGTATTGAAGTCGATCCTTGAGGTGTAACACACTAAAATGTCTATATCTATATGCGTGCCACGCTTGTATCTTCAGGTGGCTAGTAATGCTTTAGTAGGCACAAAGTAGCTAATCGGTAATGTCAAGACTTTCCGATAAGCATCTTCAAAATTATAGGCAAGCCAAAAAGTTGTTTTATTATGGAAACGACACTTGCATCTTCTTTGATTTCTTAGTAATCTATCTTTTGTCCTCAATACTTTTCAAGTCAATCACATCCCCACGCTTTTAACGTCACGATATAATGCTTGGTAACGCTGTTCAAACTCTAGCGTCATTGGGAGTGGAAGACCTGTTAGAGTTTCTTCTTTGCACTTCTCGCAAAAGTATGATCATCAATACACGTAGCACATCAACAAACTCACTTTCGGTCAGACTGTTTAATCTCTTACACAGACTTCGGCAGTGATAACAAATTCTATCAATTCGTCAATCCATTATCGTTTCAATCTCACGGCTAGTTAGGCTTATTCGGTTCAAAGTCTATAATAATCCTCCAAGAAAATTGAGTGATCATTTTGCTCACTGATCCAAAACATGAGTTATGACTTTGGAATAGTTCTAAAAGTAACTTCATTAAATACAATACTCTCATTATTACACATAATCATGTCTGTCCAGGGATAGACAAGAATAACACAGCTCCAAAAGCTCATTTAAACGATCATAGGTGCCCGAAAGTCCAGTACCTCAGCCAGTTATCCAGAAAATGTTTTTTGATAGCTATAGCCAACCAAATATACTCTACCCGCCGATAAACAGTCGATTAATTATCTCAAAAAGCCGCATTCTCAACAAGAAGCCATTTGTTGTTATAGTGATTGTAAGATATCACATTTAACTTTTACATTTAAGAAAAAAGCAAAAAAAACTGAAGTATGAACAACGTCCTGCTCGCCACTCTAGTCTTCCTAGCCTCTCTCTTGGTCTCTACAACATCTAGCGTCATCGATTTAAGTCCAGAGATCGCTATCAAGTCACAACGCGTACTCTATGGTCTCCCACAGCTCTTCCGAGTCTCCGCGCTGCTGCCAGACACGATCTACGACATTAAAGTATCGTATCCGGCTACGCAACCGACACTCTTCAGACTGCAAGTAGAGCAGGTGGTTCTTTCGCCACCTGCGAGAAGCGATGAAGCATATGATAGCGAGACTTTTGTATCAAACAACAAAGACACTGGTGAGCCTTTACGTCAAAGGAGGTTAAACACGGCCACACTTCGGCTACATCCGACAGCTTTAAGAACACACGAATCTGTGCGGTATCGGCTAGAGTCGTATGATGATACAACTGAAGTAACATTCTCACTTTTGGCCGAAGTTGAAGGAATTCAACGTCCTGGTTCCAAGTTAGATATGAGCGAATGTGTATTTGACATCGTTGTGGAGGAAATGTTGTTAGGAGCTTTCCCTAGACATACATTGGTGCTAATTGGTTGGTTAATGTTCTTGCTGTATGTGAGTGGAAAGTGGGTGCTGCCGTATTTAGAAAAGAAGATTGCATTAGAGTTCGAAAAAGATCGAGTCGAAGTGAAAAAGTCATAGAAATTTAGTCACAGCGCTGTGATGGAAGAAATTACGAGGCAAAGATGATAGCCGAACGAGCCAGCGACTTTTAAAAGCGTCTAAAGCTTGGCACACGACGCAAAATTGTTAAGTTTTCCTTCGTGAGATATCGTCCTTGTCTCGTTATCTGATGGTTCTTGAAAGGTGCAATGAGAAACAAATTTGTACAAACATTGGCTTGTCTGCAATCTGCTTCGCTAATTACTTGAAGGAATGTCATACAGCATAACATCGAAACTTGTTACCAGCGCATGTAGTGGGACTTACAGTTTCGTCGTCGAGACAATATTTTGCCATTTCTGTCTAGCTGTTCACAAGCAAGGCTCTGCAGCAACTTTATCCCAGTCGCATCACATCTCATCCCAACGTAGGATAATGTCGAGGCCCAACCTTAATACAGAAACACGCACCGTTCTCATCAGTGATCATCAACATAATCGATGGCATCTGTGCGTACCATTCAATTATCCACGTCGTCTGTAGTATCGTGGAAAATAAAACATAGAATTTATCGTCAATAAATTGCGGTGGTGTATATTTGGTAATTTCATTTTTGCCATATTTTGAATATTATTTTTGGATCCTGCTTTTGACACATCATCGTTACATTAGTAGTGAATTTATCGTTTCTGCCCCTATCAAGATTATATTATTTAGATGATGGGCAATGATTTGTTTGACAAATAACGCTTCCATAACTCTATTTTTGGTCAAGCCCGAGGGGATACCCAATTTTGGGGATCAGGGATGTCGATCACTTACAACTTACCTTGTAGTGTGTCATAATAAATAAATAATAATGACCAGCTTAGTATTTAGCACTTGCGGCTATATACCATCAAGTTGTTTTCGCCCTTGCGAACTCCCTACTGGATAGCTTTCCCGCTTCGATCCCTTTGTCTTGATATGCAACGAGTGTTAAACATTCTGCTCTAGCAAAAGAGACTAATGGATTGATAAGAACACTAGCCAATGATGCATCAGCTAAAGCGATCAGAACCGAAACTCTTTTTTGCGTCTCGACCAGCAGCCGCTGACCCGCTGAAACCAAAACTTACCAATTTGAGAAGGCTTGTGTGCACTACTTTTACAACATGCGCTATTACAGGACTAACGCTATCAAAGATACAACTTGAATAGTGCGCAAAAGTGGGCGGCGACGTGGTACTCGCTGATCGGTGGGTAAATCAGCAATACAAATTAGTGGATCGTGAAGCTTCACTAGGAACATTCAGCAGAATCACTTTCTATTTTGCAAATAAGTACTCAAGTATCTCATATATAGGCTATAAGCCCAAGTATGAAACAGTTTGTGTCTCAGAGGATAAATATTATCTCTTGATACATGATTCCAGAATCAACTCACTGTCCATGTATATATACTATCTTTCTTAACAGTATGTTATTTTGGCGTTCCTCTTGCTGTTTTGCGTGGCTATCCTCTCCTTTGATCGTTTTACTTAATGCTTCACGGTTGTGCTGTCTGAGGGTCAAATTAGGCAATTTTCATCATTATAAGTCTTTTTGGGCTGATCTTGCGGTTGGTATTTTATAGCTACAAACATGAACAGCAACTATTTGCCTAGAATGTAACATTGGATTTGATAGTTTTTTTTAGAGAACCAGAGCGATTGGCATCAAGTGTTGACATGTTTTGATTACAAATTTTGTAAGTTTAGCACGAACAACTTCACGTAAATCATTGATATTCACATTTAGTATATTACCGTACTTCACAAAAAAAACACCTGACCTACTTTTGAAAGGTGATTTTGTTAGTATTAAAGGTGGTCAAAAATGAACCATAATTGTGATTATTTTGTTAAGTTATAAGGGCACCTTTTCAAAATTGTTGACGGTCGAAACAAGGGTTAAAACGATGAAACTGTT